CACCTAGGCATGCAGACTGTTTTCACAAATGTTTGTAAAAACAGTCTGCATGCCTAGGTGCTTGAATTTATACACCTGTGGCCATGGAAGTGATTGGAACACCTGATTCCAATAATTTGGATGGGTGAGCAAATACTTTTGGCAATATAGTGTATATATACACACATATACACAAATACTTTTTTTTTTCGAGGTTACATTTTTTTTATAAAATTATGGCCCCAATTTAGCTCCATAAACCCCAGAGTGGCCAGCAGTTTGAGACGAAAAAAAAAAAAAAACCTTCATCAAGAAAAGCAGTTTTAAACATTTATTTTTGGTGTAATTTTTTTCCCCCCTTTTCAAAATTTGCTTTCCATTTCATTTCTTTTTTTTTTCTCCTGTAGGGATGTCCTGATCTGATATCAATATCGGCAACTGAAAAACTGATACCGGCCGGCATCTAAAACCCATATTTTCAAGCTCACAGAAACACTTTGCTTCGGTTAAACGGTTCTGTAAACCTTTTGTCGTTTACTTTTGTTCCCTGCTTCAGTAGTATTACTTGATCAAGCATTTTCTAACATTCTACAATATGAAATAATGAATGAAAGTCTAATTTGTGGTTATATCGTATCGGGATCGCAAATGAAAAAGTTGCATCTGGACATCCCTAATTCTGAGTTTCAAATAATTTATTTTCTTTAGTTCCCAAATCAAACTGTTTTTGGTCCAAATTTTCAGGTCCCCTTCAGCTCCACACAGATTATTGCTCAGTTTTCAGAGCTTTAATCAGGCGTCTGTTCTGGATGAGCCGTGCAGATTAACACGTTGTACCTGTGGATCCCGTCAGCGTTGTTTTCCAGCAGGTCTGGGTGGTTCTTAGCAGGAACCGTCAGGATGTCTCCCAGTGAAACCACTCTGGAAATTGTCACAATAGGCTGGTTAGGAGACAAACAGCTTGAACCCCTGCTAATGCCCACAATAGAGAAGACTGTGCCACCGCTAGGCAGCCCCCCAGCCTCACCGTGGCGTGCTGAAGTGCTCAGCCAGCAGGTTGTCAGCGCAGCTGAGGTGGCCGCCCTGCGGGGAGAGGACCGGCTGGATGTGAAGCTCATTGGCGAACGGCAGAGAAGCTGAGCGGCAGAAGCTGGAGGAGTTCTGGTTGAGATCTGGAGGAGCTGGTTTCAGTCTCTGATTCAACAAAAAAACATCAGATGAGCTGATCGTTAATCCCTGAGGTTTTTCTTTGCAAGCTAAAGTCTGCAGAAAACAGCAAACCCCCTCCACAGGGACACATCACAGGACAGAAACCTTAAACACTGACATCAGTTAACTTTTCTTGATATGCTTTTACGTTTGATTGCCAAAATATGACCAATGGGTGTTTAACCCATTACCGCATTTCTACCATTCAAGCCGGGGGCGCTGTTGCGTAATTCTACCATTGA